AATGATGAGGGCAATGAATGTACAAATGTGCTTTACACAATTGATGTATGTATGGATTGTGATAAGAGTTGTATGAGGCCCTAATAAAATGATTTTTTTTAAAAAGTAGAAACTAAGCAGGGCATTTGAAAAAATGTCAACAACAAAAAAATGCTGGCCCGGATGGCTTCACTGGTGAAATCTACAAACATTCGGGGAAGAGAAGATACTAATTCTACTCAACCGTCCAAGAATATTAAAAAAAAAAAAGCACACCTGAATTCATTTTATGAAGCAAGTATGACCCAAACCAAAGTTTTTTTTCAGACATACTGAAAAAAGAAAATTAGATACCAATATCCTTTGTGAATAGAGCTGCAAAATTCTCAATAAAATTGTAGCCTAGAGACCAACAACATATCCAAAAATAAAACAAAAAGAAAAACCATATGACTAAGTGGGATTCATACCAAGCATGAAAGAACAGTTCAGTCTTATTAAAACAATCAACAATAATCTACCACATAAATAAGATAATGGAAAAGAACAACATGATCATAACAAACAGTGCCAAGGAGGAGTGGGTGGGAATGTTTAAAAATCCAACACCATTCCTGATAAACACACTAAACAAAATTGGAATAAAAGGGAAATTCCTCAACATATTTTGTGTGTGTGTACCAACAGCCAATATTAGTCTCAACAGAGAGAGACTGAAAGAATTTCCCCTTAGAACAATAATCAAACAAAAATGCCCATTCCCGTTAAATACTACATTTGAAGTCTTAGAGCAATGAGGCAAAAAGAAATATTAATGCCATCCAAATTGGCAATGAAGCAAACTCGCTCTATTATATATTCCTACTCACAGGAAACATTAGAGACTCAGCAAGAAAATTACTCGAACTATTGGAAAGATACAGCAGAGTGGCAAGGTACAAGTTCAACATTCAAAATCAATCATTCCTACACACCAGAGGTAGGGAAAGTCTGGCCCACAGCCCATATAAAACCCATAGAATCATCGATACCAGCCAACATCACATTAGGGGTGAATTAATCAAATGTTTGACCAATATGGCCTTCAAATAACGTTAGAAATATTCAAATGACCGTCGGCAGAAAACAGGGTTCCTACAGTTGCTCTGCACTATCAAAGAGAACACTGAAAAGTATATCAGGAAAAATACCATTTACAATAGGCACCAAAATTATGAAATGCCTAGGAATAAGGTATATAAAAGGCTTAAACACCAAAAAACTACAAAACAAACAAATGAACAACAACAACAAAAAACCCCAAACGACTGCAGAAACTAAAGAAAACCTACAAAAATGGAAGCACATACCAGGTTCTTGGATA